AGGACGAGGTAGAACGTCTCGATCAAACTGCAATAATTTTTGTCTTACGGCCAACGCAACACGCGGCTTTGCGTTGTCGCGATGAAGATTTGACGGTGTGGAACTTCGAATCGATTCACATATCCCATCTTGATCAACCCCTTAATGCACAGTTCTTTTTTAAAAAGGCCGGCCAAAAAAAGTCATTTTTTTTTTAATGTAAAAAAACAATTTAGAACGTTGTCTTGGCAAGAAAATTACAAAAATACAAAAGTAATCAAAATTTTTATTGCAATTTTGGATTTTGATAACATCGCAGAAAATAGTCGAATATCGTAATATTACACGCACATCGACCTTTTTATCTTTCTTTTCGAATTCCCATTTCAGAATAAACATTATTATCGGTAAAGATATTTATTTATACTTTTAAAACATAAATAATAACAATACTAGTATTTATAATATTTATTATTATATCTATATATATTATTATTTATATTTTATTTTACATTATATTTTAGTGAAATATATATTGAAAAATGAGCGAATCAGAGTCTGAATATGAATACGCTGACGGAAAGCGGCTCGCAAGGAAGAGATAAGTCGTAAGTGATAAGTAGCTCCGTCGATGCTTACGAATTTTTATTTTACAGAAGCTCGCCGAAACGAGACGATCGCGCGCAGACGGCTTCCGTGATTCGAAGGTTTTGGGAAGAGTCGGCCGAGTCGCAGTCGACGTTTCCGGGCACCATCTGTGCCCCAGCGCGACGGCCCTTTTCAATTAATCAGCCACCACGGATAAAAGCATTAGCTCTCCGCAGTTAACTATCGTCGAAGTGCTCGGATTACAAGCCGATCAGACGGACTTTTGCGGAGTCGCCGGGAGAAGCGAATTTTTGGGCCGGCGATCGATTGGATCCGGTCGGATCGCGATTTTGCTCGGGTTTTGCGACCGGGGTCACGCTCCGAAATCGGTTATTGACCGACCTAGATGCGGACATCGGCTATTTCCGTCGTGTTCCCACACGCTGCGAAACGGTTTCCCGATTTCGCGACGAAAAAATAAAAAAGAGAGAGAGGGAGCCGCACCTGAACGAGAACGCGGTCACGCGAGGGTGACCGCCACGATTCAGAAAGTACATCGATCGGATTTTAAATGAACGTTGCACGAGCCGCGGAGTCGGATGGGAATGCCCGCACCCTAAAATTATGGCCCCATTCGAAAATCACCCCCAGTCGTCCTGGCGATTCGCCGCGGTCCGCGAGTCGAACAAGTGCCGTGCAGAAACAGTTACGGAACCGCGACCGAGTCGTATATTAAGCATTTTTTTAGGCGTGATTTTAAAAGGTGACAGCTGTCAGGCCGAGTCGCCGGACCGGAACCGGGATGAATGGGAACGCGCGTACGCGAGCCCGCGTTCGGTTTACCGAGGGCATTTCGACGAAGCCTGAAACGCGGTTCATTAAGCGAGCGCGCATACAGCCTCTGTTTCGACAACAACGCCTCGGCGAACCTCCCACCCCCTTGAACGCGCGTGCTGTCCGAGCTTTTTCTCTTACTCTTTGCGTTCGCGATTGATTTGAAATCGAATCGCGCGCGGTTACACATTATTTCGCGAATCGCGTCGAGCGTCGAACATCCTCGTTAACTGTCTTTTGATGCGAATCGACGATCGATCACAGGTTGAAATTTTACAACATCATGCAGCATTGTGCGAATTAAGATGCGTTTGATCGATCACTTTCCAATCGATGTCTTGTATTGTCCGGCCTCGAGGGGGTGCGAGTCTCCCCCTCGATAACATACAACTATGTCGTACCATTAATTCGCATTCTAGCTCTTATCCCGTGGGATAACGGCTATAGTGTGATTAAATTCTTCGAGCGGATGTCGTTCGGTAATTTTCGACTCTTTCTCTTCTCGAGCTACGAGTATTCTTAAAGAAGATAAATGTGCGGCAAAGAGCACGAAATCTGCTAATTTAGTAGACAACTAGTATTCGGTTGGCAACTAAGTAATTGCCGATTTCAGTTATAGATGTCTCTCACTCCCATTTTTATGATATCTGTGAATATTATATTATAAAATTATTATTATTATTATTATTATGTTATTGCAAGTAACTAAACGCTAAGATTACATTTTTGTAAAAAAGAAAGACAAATATATGGAAACGTGGAAATATTAGGTTTAAATAACAAAGTTTCAATGCTGACCGGTGGATGCAATTGCGTATAGGAAATGTAGTCCTTCGATTATGGAAGGGAGGAGTGTCCTGTATGAATATCCTGTATAATACTGTCGCACCTACAAATTGGAATCATCTGCTAAGCCAATACGCGAAAGAGAAACAGCAAGATTGCAATGATTTTCATTCTCTTCTATTGGGTTGGCAACTACGTAATTGCCGATCTCAGTTATAGATGTCTCTCACTCCCATTTTTATGATATCCGTGAATGTTATATTATACAATTATTATTATTATTATTATGTTATTTTTTATTATCCGTGAACGTTAGCAACTGGACAAATTGAATGCAGCGGTCAAGGAAAAGCGACCAGAATTGGTCGATCGTAAAGGTATCATTTTCCAGCAGGACAATGCCAGGCCACGCACGTCTTTGTCCACTCGGCAAAAATTGATGGATATTGCTTGGGAATTGATGTTACACCCACCATATAGCCCCGATCTCGCGCCATCGGATTACCACTTATCTCGATCCCTGGACAACTCCCTTCGTGGTAAAACTTTTAACGACGATGACGCTGCAAAATCTCACTTAACTCAGTTTTCGGCCGAAAAGGATCAGACTTTCTACGAGCGTGGAATTTTCAAGTTATCAGAGAGACGGCAAAAGGTCATCGAACAAAATGGAAAATACATTACAGATTAAACTTCGTTCCAAGTAAAAAGAATTGTTTATTTCATTGAACAAATCGGCAATTACTTAGTTTGCCAACCCAATAGTTAGAGGAGTATAGGAATGTTGGGAAAACCTACCTGCATCTATGTCATGCAAAACAAGTTTGTTTACTATTGTAAATACACAGAATAAGTGAGATGCGTCCCGTTTTTTTTCGCTATATGTACGATAGAATCTGCTTCTGAAAATGTCAAAAAGTGGCGCCTCCTGTGGAGAAGAAACGAAGCTCCAGTCGAGGTCCGTACAGCGCCAATTGGGATAATGACAAAACGTTCAAACTGTTGAACCTAAATCGACTGTCGGTTATTTGGCTAAGAGTTTGAGCGTTTTACCGCTACCCCTATTGGCACTGTATGAATTCTCGAATGGATCTTTTACCTTGCATTAATAAGTTTATTATTGCAAACATAGGGAAACATTTTTACCACAGAAGGATTCTTGATTGCAGTAAATTATTTAAAAATTAGATTAATTGAGTTCACGCATACAATGTTAATAAATACAACAGTGTGTTTTTAAAGGTCGACGATCATTGCAATTATCAAAATTTTAGGTCTTTCTATAAATTGGAATCTACTGTTTAAAGTATTTTATACTGATATATTATTGTTTGTTATAAATTTCATCCATGTTCAACTACAAAACAAAAGAAGCGGAATAATATTACGATTGTCCAACATTTTCTTAAATTTCGACTACTATTCCGAGTGTTTTATAGAATATTTTATAGCTAACTCAAAAAAGAACTGGCTATATTTAGGTATTAAAGTTTCACGATTTATTATTTATCTTGACATTTAATCGTTTCCTATTGTTTGTTCACCAGTAAACTGCAAGGGAAATATAGGATACGCTCCCGCTTATGAAATAATTGCATCGCCTGTATAATATTCGCTGCATTATCGGTTACGTTACGTAAGATACTTATCACTAATTTGTTTAAATTTTTACTATTACGAGACTTGAAAAAGGTACAAATTTTTAATGCAGGTATGCTTTATCTTGAAATTGTTGTCTAAACAATGGACTGTTATCGATTTGTAATTTTCATTTACCGGTGTTGTTTATCATTTACAACACCTGGCAAAATGTTTCTGATCATATACACTTGCACAAAATTTACAAAGGATATTCGAGTTAAAAAAATGTTCCTTTATGCAGGCAAGACGAACGAAGAACGTAGATCGGATCCGAATAAAGTAAATAATTCAATTTTTCATTTATTATCGAAAATAATCCAGATAAGAGAATAAAATGTTATGTGGAAAAAAAGTTACCTTTGAATGCCTCAAGCGGAGAAAGAAATCGTAAACACAACTCGTGTCTGTGAAAATGTAAACATACGCTTTTACCGCTCAGGCATCTGAAATACAATGATTCGCGTTAATATTCGGACCACGATATTGTTAGAAGAATTATTGCTCCTTTTTATTGTTTACGATAGTAATCAATTGTTTTCTCATATAATAAAGCACTTCTTAAAGTAAGTAGAAACATAAATTTTGTTTATTTATTGCACATGTTCTTTTGTATAATAAGCGATAAACAAGATTGTGACAAAATTTAACGTCGCAAAAATATTCGGACAGTGAATGTGAATTACATTAATTTTACATAAAATGAAAATCTTTTTAATCATGTCATCACAATATTAATATTATTATTTAAGATATTTCAATACACCTTTCATTATATCGTATCTTTATATTTCAATATAATAGTTAATTTGATTATATCGTAACCTTAATTCTTATTCTTAATCTCATTCTTAGTGCATAACTTTTTCAATGTATATACTGGGATCGTTCAAGCCGCTCGAATATTCGAATATTCCGACAACCATAGTACAAATACGTATTTCTGTATATGTATATGTACTTGGTTCATTGTATCGTGAAAGATTCAAAGTTTAATTATTACGAAGAAAATTCAAACAAAAAAATGTTATCTTGCCTTCTTTGTATACATAGAACCCACCGAGTTCGTTGTGTCTTTCTCTTGATCATCTTCCGTTCTCTTTTTAAAGCAACTGCGCGAAGGTGGATGCACAGCAGAATGGTGGGGATAGAAATGTTCTTGAATTGAGTGAAGNGTAATCAATTGTTTTCTCATATAATAAAGCACTTCTTAAAGTAAGTAGAAACATAAATTTTGTTTATTTATTGCACATGTTCTTTTGTATAATAAGCGATAAACAAGATTGTGACAAAATTTAACGTCGCAAAAATATTCGGACAGTGAATGTGAATTACATTAATTTTACATAAAATGAAAATCTTTTTAATCATGTCATCACAATATTAATATTATTATTTAAGATATTTCAATACACCTTTCATTATATCGTATCTTTATATTTCAATATAATAGTTAATTTGATTATATCGTAACCTTAATTCTTATTCTTAATCTCATTCTTAGTGCATAACTTTTTCAATGTATATACTGGGATCGTTCAAGCCGCTCGAATATTCGAATATTCCGACAACCATAGTACAAATACGTATTTCTGTATATGTATATGTACTTGGTTCATTGTATCGTGAAAGATTCAAAGTTTAATTATTACGAAGAAAATTCAAACAAAAAAATGTTATCTTGCCTTCTTTGTATACATAGAACCCACCGAGTTCGTTGTGTCTTTCTCTTGATCATCTTCCGTTCTCTTTTTAAAGCAACTGCGCGAAGGTGGATGCACAGCAGAATGGTGGGGATAGAAATGTTCTTGAATTGAGTGAAGAAACAGCTTTTGAATCGAGTTCTTGACTGTAGGGAGAAATAAGGAACAAGGGGTGTAAACTACAAATATCTTTACCATGCAATGGTCATACAAAGTCTGTTCTAAATAAATGTTATTACATGTAGAATGATTTGTTCGCTCTCAAATAAAAAGGAAAACAAAACAAGTGTAAATTGAAATAATTAAATGGCGCATATAGCTAACAGATTGATAACAATTTTTGTATGCAACATTCGTAAGCTCAGCTTCTATTCGCACGATTGCCCCACCCTCTCCTATGCATATCCTTGTATTCGTCCATGGCCCGCATCTGTCTCAATGTTTCACCGTCGTCGTCTTCGAGCAGTTCTTCTTTTTTAATCTCTTCCTGTTGATCGTTACCGCTCGAGTTTGCCATGTCTTGCAAACATTTTGTACCAGCCTTCGCCGGATCCGGCCAGCTTCAACGAAGAAACATTAACACGATTAGAGTTTGTCGGTAGAGGAAAAAAAAACTTTAATGTTCATACTAACTCTCCGTCCTTCACACGCTGATCATAAAATTCTTGGACCGTGAGAACAGGTAAACTGGGATAACCAGCTCCGAATACTTGTTTCTGTAGATCGTCTCGCGTAATAATGATCGGCTGCAGTTTGCTAGCGGACGGTTTATGCTTCCGCGAGGTTTGAGAACCCATAGTTTCGTTTTTTCCTACGTGTTTCATGTGTTCTAGAATCGGCTTCTCGGCCGCTAGCATGCTCAACTCTTCTATTGCCGAGTTTACATACAATTTAACGAGTGTCGTGAAATAATCCCGTTTTTCCTCATCATCGATGTTCGGGTTGTCTAAATTATTCTTCAGAATCTCCAAACGCGATTCTAATTCCTTCTGCTCCTTGTATCTCTGCAGTTTAGTGTTTCTGCGGTGTACCTTGAAAATGTCCAAAATAAACAATAGTTTCACGAGTATGTAATTAGAACATACCATTACTTTAAAACATACCATTTCGGTGATTGCTTCCGCGTTTGAACGATTCCTCCCGGGATCGTGTTCCTTATCTTCATTCGACTGGAGTTTCGGTAAATTGACATCTGTCAAACCGTACGATTTCACGCGGTTCAAGAAGTCGACGAAATAAATTTCGGCCACGTTAACGATATGCATTCGATCATCCACGTTGCAAATTTTCGTGGCAAGCGTACCAAGGAGGGCCGGAAGCAACAAGTACTTAATATTTTCCGTGGGCAGTTCTTCAAAATTCTCATTTTCGCTGAACATATCCACTGCGGAAACCAGCCTCGTTGCGTCTTCCATCATATTCATGGCTCGTTTGACGTCGGACTATCGTAAAAAGAACAAACATGTAATACGTTGCAACGACGATGAATTAAATCGAAAAGAGGTTTTCTATTCTGTACCTGAATTTTTGTGCTGTTTGTAGGTTGATCCGTCTTATTGATATCGTTGAACAGCTCGAACGCTTTATCAAACAATTCTGACAGCGTCGCGGCATCTTTGTCGTCGCTTTTCGATTCCATTATATTCTCTACCGAGGTCATAGAGTCGTCGGTTTGACAGTTCTTGTTCTCACCGTTTACCAATTCCTTGTACCGGAAAAAAACAAACTCTCGCGATAAAGGTTATGGTCGACGACAGTTCGACCCGAAGTTGCCGCTAACCGCCAACAATTTTCGCTAGGACTGCGATATTATCGACAGAGTTGAAAGCGATTCTTTCGAATTGACGGAACAGACTCGAGATTCAAGCTTGAGGAGATTGATGTCGATTCGATCGGTTAGAATTAATTTTGTGTCGGGTATCAAATAAATCAAATACAATTATTTCGTAAAGGTTCGTTTCTTTCATGTTTTGCTACCTTTTCCTGCAACAATCGTTTTCGCTTTCGTTGCGAAATTTCCGCGTGTTCTGAACATTTAGTCGAAACTCTGTTCACGGAGAGTCACTGTTAAAATAAACAACTTATACTGGCGCGTGACGAGTTCGGAGATTGGCGCGAGAACACGTAAAAAACGGAGAAGGCACGATCAGTAGAATGGGTATGTTTCCAGGCATACGGTTCGCACTTATCGAACACGTTTTATGCCTCGTATATCCGATTAGCGGTCGTTTTAAGGAATAAGTTCGAACTTGGAAGCACGCTGGCGAGGACTGTGGCGAAAGGCAGCACGCACGCTGCCCAAATTGGCGGATTCTGGTCAGGCAAACTTAATCGCAGAAACGATCACTGCGGCAACGCTTTGCACTGTTTACAATTCTCCATTTGCTCGTCGAATTCTTCAATCTGTAGGGTCATCTCGAAAAATCTGTACTTGTCATGGATGTTCCTCGTGGCGATGCGCAATATGTCCTGAGGCCTCGTACCTGGTTCTAGAAACGAGCAGGAGAGTCGCGTTAATTTCGACCATCGATAAGAATCAACGATACGATACGATTCACGCAATCGCATACTTATCGCTAGATGCGCGGACAACGCGGTTTTGTCCAGAGAAAGCGCCCATATGCGAAGATTGTGTACTTTGACGACGCCGTTGATATTCATAAACGTGCTCTCGACTTGCGAGTAATCGAATCCCTTCGGAATTCCTTCCATCAAGACGTTCATCACGTCCTTGATTATGGCAACCGTGGTCAATATGACCAGAAGCGAGAATAGAAAAGTACAAATTGGATCCACTATCTTCCAAGTTGGCTGGAAAATGATGCGAGTTTAACGATGTGAAATTTAAAATCGTTTTTCCTCGATTCTATCAAAAGAGCTAACGTCGCGTGTACCTTGAAGTAAACGATCACCGCCGCGACGAAGACGCCTATGCTCTGAATGAAATCTCCAAGAACATGAATGAAGGCGGCACGCACGTTGATGTTGCTCTTGTCCTGATCATGAGCTTCGTGGACGTCCGTTTGGTTTTCCAGGTTTCCGAGCTGGCTCGATTTCGACCGCGCGTATTCCTCCTGATGACTGTGGCCATGGCTGTGGCCGTGCTGGTGTAACGACAGGCCCATTCTGTGCGGCACAATGTCGATTAGATCTCGAGAACAACACGATTCGGAGAGAAAGGAATTCTATCTGCGTATGCATGTTCTATCACTGACACTAGATTTACCGCGACACCAACGATGGAAGAGATCAACATCACGGTGGCATTCAGTTCGAAGTCCTGGTGGATGATTCTCTCTACTGCCAGATAGAACAGAATTCCGGTAACCACCCATATCAATAGTACCGAGGTCAGAGCACCGATCACCTGAAACGATCCGGTCGGTTATTAAATTACGATTCGCTTCCAATGGAAAACTGATTGCAAATATTATGCACCCACCTCCGCTCTATACCATCCGAACGGCATTTTCCTAGTTGCTGGTCGACTCGAGACCCATATCGAGAACAACGATATCATGAACGACGCGAAATCGGTCAGTAGATGCGCAGCATCCGTCGCTATGGCTAAACTATGCGACAATATTCCACCTGGAAGAAAAAGGAACCGGTCGTTTCGTTGACAAATCGTTCTAGTTTTCCAATAACCAAAGCTGCGCGTAGTATTATTATTGTATTACCTACGATTTCTGTGATCATAAAAATTACACACAGCGTACTGGCGATCAGTAATTTCTTTCTTGCTTTCTTATCGATCTCCTCGTTTCTTTCCCTGTGGCAATGGTCGTCCGGTATCACTGCAGCAGCGACAAGAACGTTCTAATTATCACAATCAATGGGCGAGTGCGCCGTTCGCGGCGACCGCGTTTAAGTTGAATTCGTAAGTCCTTACTCGAAGGATGTTTTCGGTAACCGGAAGTTGTCATTTCGTCGACTGGACCACCGCCGCCGCCTTTCACGACCGTGCAGCAGCCGGAAAGTTTCCCATGAACGCAAAAGATCACCTGCCTAGGGGACGTCGGTGCGATTTCCTCGGGATCGTTATTGTTTGGCGGAATGCTGGTCCCGTATCCATACACGGCCTTGTCTTTGAATCTGCGAAACATTTCAGAACCAATTAACCGATCGCCGCTGCAACAATATCGGGCATCGAGACACACTTCGAATTTCGAGCAACGACCAGCTAGATTGTCCAGGCCGTTCATTTTACCCAGCAAAAAATGCTTCCGGCGTTACTCACGAGATATCAAACTGTATACGGAGTACTTACGCTTTAGGCCTTGGTCAGCTGTGCACAACCTTGGTAATGAGAAATAATATCGGCAACGAGGAACGACGAACACGGTTTTTGTTTTCTCGTATGCCATTCTTACCAATCGATCGCAATGAATGCAAGATTTCTATGGGCAAATATTCATTTCTACGCTCGCTTGTTCACACGCTTCGGTTCAGAACAGCATTAAATTGTTGATAAATAGGTACGACACGTTCATAGAAAACGAGCATAAAAATTTCATTTCATTATTATTATTATTTATTTGCAGCACTTTGGTCAGGACGATACACTTGAGACGCAGCGAAATGCAAGATATTCAGGAAATTCATTATTTTCTTTTTTCTGTTGTTAAGCAAACACTTCGGTTGCAATATCGAAGTTAAAATGGGATTAAATGAAGAAAGATAATTATTTACGACGGCGCCAAACCACGCACCAGAACATTCACTATGCACATTTTTACTCCTTTTCTTTTGCCCGGCCATTTTTTTTTACGGCTTCAGCCATTCTCTTCGTCTCATATTTTTCGTTAATAATTAATAATAATCCTCATAATTGGACCGATACTGATTGACTGAGAGTCACCACCATACTTGGAATTCGACGGAGTTGAAAACATGGTGTTCCGTTTTTAACCACACACACACAAGCGCGCGCACTTACCGACGAACACACATGATCTTATAAATACGCACGAATATTAGAGACAAATTATCACGTCTACGGCATTCACACTGCCAACGAGTCAACACGTGCACAGTCTCAAAGTTAGCGTTAGCTCGACAGTTCCTAATCGTTTCATTAATTTTAATTTTGTCAGATTCTTAAGAATAGAACTATTCCATTTTTCGTGTCTTCCTCCGGTTATGATTTTTGTAATCGCGTTTCGCGACTAAATCTGTGTACGAATGCGTAAAAAAATAAATTGTCAAGGACTCGAGGGTACCATTCGTGTTAACTGTTTACTTATACGAGGAAATACGGTAAATTCTCCCTAATTGGCGCTCAGATTGTGCACGAACAAAAAAATGCACGATTCGAAAAGAGGAGATACTATTATTATTATTATTTTTATTATTATTATTATTTTTATTTATTATTATTATTTTTTATTATTATTATTTTTATTATTATTATTATTTTTTATTATTATTAATATTATTATTATTATCATTATTGTTATTATTATTATTATTCGAGCCTTGCGGCTCGAATTTTTATAGTTGCCGATTGTCAAACAATTATAAAAACGAGTCGCGAAGCTGGAATAATCGTACCAAATTGTCAATTTTAGGGGCACAATCTGAGCGTCAATTAGGGAGAATTTACTGCTGTTCCGTGATTGTTAATTACGTTCTGTGAGCAGTGAATACCCGATGTTTTCCACCGAGGAGGAATCAATTCTCCGTCGTTGATCCGTTCAAATTTGTTAAGTATGTACCTCGTCCGTTCTACATGATCGACATGGACTTTCTACTGGAGATTACAGTTTTGAACGTGTATTTTATGTACAGGTCTGCTTAATACACATGTTCACAGATCCGTGTTATTGTTAATACACATGTATGCACGCGTATATCGGTACACGTGTGTTAAAAATGACACGGATCAAAGCATGTGAACATTAATTATACGTGTACGCATGAAACAGAGATCACTATTCTATACGAATAACCCATAAACCCATTGTTGACATTTTAAGTAAAAGTGTCAAGCAGAATTCGAAAGTTCACTTATTAGTATTATGTTATTATATTATTACATTATTATTATTATATTATTATATTATTACATTATTATTATTATATTATTATATTATTACATTATTATTATTATATTATTATATTATTACATTATTATTATTATATTATTATATTATTACATTATTATTATTATATTATTACATTATTATTATTATTATAAAATCACCGCTTTTCATTACGGTAAAGTGACTAATGCCACTTTCAAAATAAACGGCTCATACATCGAAAGCAAGCACTATCTTCTTGCTTCGTTTCTATCTACGAGAGTTCATCTCGATCCATTTACATCGCACAGCTCTGTCCCCGCAAATTTGATTCGCGACCTTTCATTGTTAACGCAAATGGCATGCACACAAATCGTTGCCTTTCTTCTTCCCTTCTTCGTCCCCTTCACAACGGAGGACACAAAATATCGCGTCAAACTTTGACTCGGGATTTTCTTACATTAACTATCGCATTAAAGAATTATGCGTACAAAATCTAAATCGTACGTTTCATCACAATACTTGCTATATACTGTTCGATAAATCGTGAAATATTCCGAGATACGTCTTACGACGTCACAGGTGACTGCCATTGGTCGATATTAAACGGAATATTTTTACTCGGATCCTGTCAAATCATTCAATTTATTCTCAAGGGACGCGTTTAATCGCTCTTCTTCATTTTCACGACTAATTCCATACAATTTTCACTAAGGGGCTTCCGTTCACCGTGACGGTGCTACTTTTCTATTATCATTTTACTGGCAGTCATCGATCAAACTGTATCAACGTGTTCCTGCATTTATTTTCTCTACCCCGTTCTCGGCGGCTAGACTGCGCTCAACGTGCAACCACAACAATATCGCTGCTGAATAAAAAGATTTGTATAGAATTATTCTAATAGAATTCAAGATAGACTATATATTAATTATTATATATTATAATTATATAATAATAATAATAATAATAATAATATATAATAATATAATATTAATAATATATATAATATAATATTATAATATATATAATATAATATAGTATATATAATATATAATATACACACAATAATATAGTATTATATATTAATTATTATAGAATTCAACAGAGATTTTACACTGTCCCGTAGCGAGACCATTTACCGAGAGAGAGTAAGTTTCCCGGATTTCGTCTCTTCGTTCTTTTAAGCCTGAATTTACACGATCGTTCACAATCTACATGTCGATGCTGTCCTTCATTTTCCCTTTGATTGCTTGAATTTCTTCTCTTTTTTATACAATCAATCCTTTTACCTTTCGAAAATTACGATAATCACCGTCATCCTTACAACAAGTTTACAAATTAATTCGTGATCCTCGCAATCGTAACTTCATCTGAATTCAAGTCTCCTCTCAGCTCTCGGTCTGTCATACTATCATCGATCGTCTCTAAAATCAAGCGTGCGCATAGAAAACAATAGGCGTTGTTTTTTTTGTAAATTCACGGAAGATTGACCGGTACACTCTAATGAAACTGATAACGGGTACAATTAAATATTCTTGCACGCGCGAACGTCTGATCAAGGTACCATCGCGTTCGCGGAGACAATGATGTTCAAAAATCGCGATTCGCGAAATCTCCGTTATCCGTCGCATGCCGTCTCCAGAGATTCCAGTCGATCAAAGACGCCCCGATCGAGGCGGTTCGAGGTTTCGGGCATCGCGTTCTTCGGCAAAAGCAGAAAACAATTCGCTCGACCGTCGCGCGAATCGCGAATTGGTTGTCCCGGATCGCGATCTCGGGATCGCTGGAATCTGGCGACCGCGTTTACGTGACTCAATTTGTTGTTGACCTGTTGCCGTGCGATTGCTATCGATGCCTTGTTAAGTCGTTATCTGACGGCGAGATAGCCGTGACGCCGTGTGCAAAAGCCTATTCGTTGGGCCGTTATCGATAACACTGTCCGACAAAATCAAACTTCTTTTTCTGGGTTCCTATAGCCACTATGAGATTCTTGTAGAGCTTCGCTCCCTGAACAAGAATCCGAAAACCGAATTGCTCCGTCGCCCTCAGTTTTTTTAAGTAAACGAACTTTTGTAAAAACCCAACATTTTCGAGAAAAATGAGGTATCGCATGAGAAGTACAAACGTTAGAAAGTTCTAATCGGTGTTGAAAGATAGAGGAGAGTTTCCCGAATATAGTGGCATGCAATTTGTTAATTGTTTTTGTTCCTAAATAGCAATGAATTGACGTCAAAGTTTGAAAAAGCGTCGACGCGAGCAGTTTCTGCGCAATATTTTTGTATTTTTACGAAAAGTTCTTTGTTCGCCACGAAAACTCTACCCAGGATCGGATTCTGTAGACATTTCTGAAGAAGAAACGGCCTGATAGAAGTGTCGGAACGATGTACATTTCGAGTAGATCGAGAAAATGTTCGTCGGCAACATGTACACGACGTTTTGCCGCCATGTGCTTCGCTGCTCGCTTCTCTCTGTCCGACAGGGCCGAAGCCATAGCTTCCCATAGATCACCCATAGGTAATCAACACCGATGGAGGGATCCAATGGGGCACCCACTTAGCGTGTGGGGCGTGCCATTTTTTTTAGTACTTCAATGTGCTGTCTTCTTTTACATATTTTTATGGATAATAATCGCCGAACTGTGAATCATAAATTAAAAATGGAGAAATAATAAAAGAAAAATAATGAACAAAAAATATTCATTTTATTCTGAATTTGTTCGAATTACAAGTATATCATGTATACAGTTATCATTTAAATTATAACGATAATACGATCATGAATAAATAATCATTTTCAAAACGTTAAACTTCTTGAAACATATCGTTAAATATATATTTAAATATTTATTTAATTATATGGCGTAGAAGTCAAAATTATACTAGTGTTAGAATACTTTCGTTACCAACTCCAAATATGTGTGATTTTTTGTGTGAAATATATCACAGTTTAGTGATTATTGTCCACAGAAATATGTAAAAAAAGAACCAGAACATTGAAGTACTAAAAAAAATTCAAATATTATTTACGAAAAGTGGGTGCCCCATTGGATCTTACCATCGGTGTTGATTACCTATGGGCTGTCTCTTATACACATCTCTCCATCGGTGTTGATTACCTATGGGCTGTCTCTTATACACATCTCTCCATCGGTGTTGATTACCTATGGGCTGTCTCTTATACACATCTCTCCATCGGTGTTGATTACCTATGGGCTGTCTCTTATACACATCTCTCCATCGGTGTTGATTACCTATGGGCTGTCTCTTATACACATCTCTCCATCGGTGTTGATTACCTATGGGCTGTCTCTTATACACATCTCTCCATCGGTGTTGATTACCTATGGGCTGTCTCTTATACACATCTCTCCATCGGTGTTGATTACCTATGGGCTGTCTCTTATACACATCTCTCCATCGGTGTTGATTACCTATGGGCTGTCTCTTATACACATCTCTCCATCGGTGTTGATTACCTATGGGCTGTCTCTTATACACATCTCTCCATCGGTGTTGATTACCTATGGGCTGTCTCTTATACACATCTCTCCATCGGTGTTGATTACCTATGGGCTGTCTCTTATACACATCTCTCCATCGGTGTTGATTACCTATGGGCTGTCTCTTATACACATCTCTCCATCGGTGTTGATTACCTATGGGCTGTCTCTTATACACATCTCTCCATCGGTGTTGATTACCTATGGGCTGTCTCTTATACACATCTCTCCATCGGTGTTGATTACCTATGGGCTGTCTCTTATACACATCTCTCCATCGGTGTTGATTACCTATGGGCTGTCTCTTATACACATCTCTCCATCGGTGTTGATTACCTATGGGCTGTCTCTTATACACATCTCTCCATCGGTGTTGATTACCTATGGGCTGTCTCTTATACACATCTCTCCATCGGTGTTGATTACCTATGGGCTGTCTCTTATACACATCTCTCCATCGGTGTTGATTACCTATGGGCTGTCTCTTATACACATCTCTCCATCGGTGTTGATTACCTATGGGCTGTCTCTTATACACATCTCTCCATCGGTGTTGATTACCTATGGGCTGTCTCTTATACACATCTCTCCATCGGTGTTGATTACCTATGGGCTGTCTCTTATACACATCTCTCCATCGGTGTTGATTACCTATGGGCTGTCTCTTATACACATCTAGATGTGTATAAGAGACAGTCTTCTAACACCGATTAGAACTTTCTAACGTTTGTACTTTCCATGCGATACCTCATTTTTGTCGAAAACTTGGGGTTTTTACGAAAGTTCGTTTATTTAAAAAAACTGAGGCCGATGGAGCAATTCGGTTTTCGGATTCTTGTTCAGGGAACAAGAATTTACATCTACATATCTACAAGAATTTCATAGTGGCTATAGGAACCCAAAAATCGTGCCGAGAGCGGCGTGCACGGTGATCCGATCGAGCCTGATCACGTGCGACGCGATCGTGTAATTTCGTACACGATGCACGAAATTATACGCAATGGACAGAAACCGATCCATCACGGAGAAACCAATTAATTACACGCCTCTTTGCGTTTCCTCTTTCGTTCGCGATACGCGGCGGCATGCTATCTGCTCTCTTCCTGCCCCAACCCCTCCCCGACGCTCCTCCGTGAACGGAGAGACAAAACCGTGAAAACACGAAAACACGAAAAGAAGAAAACAAGAAAACACGAGCCACGCTTCGGGAATCCCTTGGTGCGTCGCCAATGGCGCGCCGATTCGTCGAACAGTCGAACAGAATTTATTTTCGTCGGAAGTATACGTCGCGGTCTAAACGATATGGCATTGCGGCACCCTTGCCTCCTCGTGGTTCGGCTACTCGGTTACATGCATGGTTACCGGGGTACGCGACGCCCCCCACCGATTGGACAAGTATCGGTGAACACAGGTAATCGCCGTTTAATCGCGAACTCAACCGCGCGTCACCGACGATCGCGGATCATGAACCAATCGTAACCCGATCCACGCGTCGCGATCGCGATATCAACGAACTATAATACCGTTTCCTCATTCCCGTTCCACTACCCTCGATCCGTTGCTAACGATAGCCGAGGAGGATCAATTCGATGGTCCGTGAAAATAATGCAGCAATTCGCGTTGCACAAGTGGTAGAAAAATGCTTCCTGGAATGGAGTTGACATTTGTTCGATGCGAGTTGGCGAAACAGTGGAGGACAATTTCGAAATGAAAACGACTCGGAACGTTGTGGTGTAGAGAAGATAAACAATATCGAAAATAAGAGATCTCAGTTTTCAAATGTCACAAATACAATGATCGGAATTCTTTAATCTACGGCCAGCTTACGGGCGCTTACGCGTTGCTTCTAATCTTCGTCGAATGACGTCCCGCGAATAAAGTACCTGGTGTCTTATCGAAATCTAGGATTTGCCTTGTCGGGTGACCTTTTCTCTTGCCGTACAACTTCCACCTAGAACCGACAGATCGAAGAGCACGGCAATGCCTCGATAACACGACGGTCGCGGTAACGGTCACTCTACTACACAGTATGTATTTGTCCGTCGAATGATCTTCGGCGATTGTTCGTACGGTTTTGTATATACTTTTCTATCCAAACGGCCGTCTCATTCTCTTCGGAATAAGTAGCAGAATGCAAAATAGTTGGCAATGTTATCTGGACGACATTATACGTTACGACCGGACATTAAGATCGTCGATGTAGAAAAAAAAGGAAAAACATCGGCAGTCTGGAACGCGGTTGAAATTCGCGAGGTGCACGCTGCGGAACCTCGTGCCGATGTATTTACGTGCTTGGTGGGGGAAGGAGGGGATAAAGGCTTGGCTCGATCGAGCGATCGAATCGACGCCGAAACGGATCCGGAAGATAGGATATTCGAACTCACAGCTTGATAGTCTCGTCGTCCATGTTCCTTGGTCCGATGCGCCGTGGGCGCAGTCTCCTTCGATCGTAAGGTTCGCCACGGAGGATCGATCCGACACGGTCGATGCCGGCGATCGATCGGTGCGAAAATATGAGGGGGGGACAAAAAAATGAAACGAAGATGCGAAAGCGAACGCGAACCCGAACCGCGAGCCGCGATCCGCGAAAGCAAGGGCGAAGGCGACCGCGAACGTTAACACGAATATGGAATTCGGAATACCAAATACGAAATATAATGTCCGACGGGGAGGGGGCCGCGACTCTAGAAACGAGCTACAAAGTCGGCCGAGAAAACGATTTCGAGTTGCCGTTAGGTCTCCGGTCGACCGGTGACCAACAGACACGGATGGACTGCACGCGCGTCACTAGTTACATAAACAAGAAAACCCGGTTGCCACTTCATGCCGTCGGTCTTTTAGTAGAAAATCCTCTGTCCAGTCTAGTCGGTTTGTTTTAACAGATAACTTAACTTAACTCTCGATGAGTTTCCTCCCACTCTCATCGATACTCCGCTGCTCTCTCGCTCACCTCGCACCGCTCCTTGCCCCTCCGTCCTATCGCAATTCACCGAGCTGATTCCTCTCTCGTTCCTCTCCCGTTCCTCCCGATCGGCATCCGCCCCTCCTCAACCCCAACGGGCCCACCTCACCCTCTCCTTTTCGATCCGAGCAGAAGAGAGTCGGTCCTCCTCTATCTGCTTCTGCTTTTCGAACCTACTATCTACCCATCCTCTTCCGTCCCTCTCCCACTACCGCTCCCGCTCCTTTCCATTGTCAGCCCGAGCGTACTCGTTCGCTGTCATCCGTCTCGTTCCCTCGCACGCGGCACCAGCGTTCACGTAGTCCTCGTATCGCGCAATGCCGCCGGCTTTCTTTTTCCTTCCTCGTCCGTTTCCTCGATCGACCGTTCGAACGATCGCTTCCGTTCGAACCGTAGCTCTGCGCACGCGCGAACGGTCGATTCCGATCGACGCGGATCGTCGCGTCCGTCCGTTCCACGTCGTTCTCGCACGCGGTTCTGATCGAGGCGAAGCGTTCGCGAGCGCGTTCGTTTCGCATCAAAAACATTCCATGCAAGCATCCCGTCGATCGGCTCGTTGTAAATTCACGAATAAACGGTTCAGTAATTACCGATAGACGTTGGTCGCGTTAAATTCTTCTCGGTCGGACGTTAACGTGTTGCAACCACCGCAAACCTAACTGCAGGCGTTTCAATAACTTTCCTATATCCAAGAGAAACTCTATAATTTCGTATAACAGAAGAGAGTCTCCGGAGAAGTAATTGCTTCTCGTTGCTTACTAGAACGCTGGAATCGCAGTTCGAGGCACCACGCGGTCGATTCAACTTTTCGTTTAAATTTCTCGTACAGAAATATTCTATGTACATTTATCATCTTCGAAACTATCAGCCGACGAAGCGAGATAACAACCGAAGAAACGTGTCGCATCCGCCTCGTCTTAATCCCACTTAATACCTACAAGATGTACAATATTTATAGATTATTCGAGCTTACACAGGGCCGTATCGATATTCATATCTAGATACGAAGGAACGTACAGAACGTGAATTCTTCGATTTAGAACCCGTGGAATATATTCTATATCGGTCATGGTTTCGAAACATAAGTAAACATGAAGTATTGAATCCCGATTAAATTTCAAAACCAGCGAAATTACTCAAATAATTAAAACTATGTACGTACGATAGTGGAACAGGTTCGGTCATCGTTGGTACGTGTAGCTTCTCGTTCGAAATATGAAATCGCCGATCGTCCGAATCCGCGACAAACAATGCGGCCGTACCTAAGAAACAACAAACGCGCCGAGTGGTTTGCACGCTCTCGCGTGCGACGAATCACGACACGGTTTACGTGTTTTTCTATCGGCAAGAGATGTCATTAGAAGCGAACTAAACACTGTCGGTTTCTATCGCCGTGAAATCGTAGCAAGTTTACCACAATCTTAGAGCGAAACTGACGATGCGCCGTCGTCCTCTGTGCCGGGACAATTTCCTCGAGCCAACAAAGATCGACCTTAACTGTATCTGTACTGCAAACAGTGTGATTTTTAGTACACTTCTAACTAACACACGCGACCATCGGTATTTAGGTGTCTCGTGTATTTCCTTTCCATCGATATTGTCGGTATAGCCGTTGTCCAACGCGAGGAATGAGTATTCGAGAAAACCAGTTAGAAACGTTACGTGTTTATTTCTTACAACTATGCAGTAGACGATACAAAATCACAATCGCGTTATCCTTGCGAACCCGGATCCTCGTGTCCACGACCAACCACGATACCGCGAACAACGATCGACGACGTTTCAATTTATTTAGGTTCGAATTTTCGTTCGTATTCTTCGATCCTTTAACGGATATAAGACGCGCAGTGCAGAGATTGTACTATGAACGATTCAACATTGGGAATTAAATTGGTCGCAGACACCAAACGCTTCCCAATGTCGGCAAACTTTTGTAATAACGTTCGGTTACCTTATTGCACACATTGGCAATACTATTTTCATGACTGGTGCGCTGGCACCGTTCTCACAGCTCTTCGTGTTTCGCGTCTTCCGCAACTTCTTCTTCTTTTTCTTCTTCTTCTTCCTCCAAAATATCTGAAACGTGAAAGACCATGGAGAAGTTTGTGTCATGATCGCGTGTGCATGTGTATACGTGTATGTGTACCATGCTCATCTTTCTCGGTTTGTCTATTTTGGTTTTCCACTTTCTGTTGCAAGGTCTTTATCTCTTCGTCGTATCCCACCCATTCCGGCAAAATGCGTATGGCGGCCTGCAGTTTGGCTTCTTTCGTCATTGGGTTGTTACACTGCCATTTTAAAAGATCGCAGATCAGTATTACGGTAATTATATTCATTCAATATTTGTGCGTTCGATCTTCCATAAATAGGAAAGAAGTTCGCATTATATTCAGTATTATTATTAAGTTCGCATTAAGTTCAGTATTATATCAATTAAATATTTGTGCATTCGATCTTCCATAAATAGGAAAGACGTTCGCGTGTGATTTGAAATGGTTGACTTTACCAAATCTATAGTCTTCGCGTATTTCTTGGACGTATCGTCGCACCAAGTCTCGCACCACAGCCACTCCTGGGGCAGCGTTTTTATGGCTACTTGATGAATCATATTGTTCGGGAGATCCTGAAACGAACATCAAGAACGTTAAACGTTTCGTTAAGTAAAATCATAACGTCGCTGTTGTCATTGTAAGAAACAAACTTGATCTAAATTTGCCAAGCTGTTAGGATCTTGACTGAGTGCTTGATATTGTCCCCTCAATCTATCACCGGCAGCGATGCGTCGAAATCGTTTCAAATGCACCACATACAACGCGCTAATGTGATAAGCGCGACCTTGCAAATGGCTTCGCCAATACCCTTGCTTCCAGAATCTAAATCCGTCCATTTCAGTCCTACTGTCGCAGAACGGAGTGTACGCGTACGGTGCTCCTCCCAGGTCCATCGTTGCCAATTCTTTCAAGTCCGCTCTCACCACCTACACAATTGGAAAATGGAGAATCGATCGAACCTTACTTTGTTCCTCTGATTATTCTATCAGTGTTATCGTGTTCTCTAATACCTGATCGGCGTCCACGAATATAATCTTCTTCACGTTTAATGGAAACAGTACGTCCAGAAATAGTATTTTGTAGCCCCATATCGTTCTCTGCTTCTCAGTCTGTTGAATAAGCCAACGAGGCCACTTATACTGGACCAGCTCGTACTCGAAGCCATACTCTTTGGCCATGTGCGGCAAGAAATCCTAAGGGCATATATTTCAGTAACTTTCCGATTTCGCGCATGTATTTTCGTATTATTTTGTCTTACCTTTAGCGTTGGTGAAAGATAATTTTTTAAAAACCAAAATTTGACAGGAGTCTTTGTGTGTTTTATGACGCTCAACATCATAATCTTCAGGAATCTTTCGTACAAATGACCCGATGCCAAGGAAAAGATGTTCAACTTCTCGTCTTCATCGTCGCTCTCTTCGTTCGCGGTGAACGGCCTAATTGAAAAAAAAACAGATGGGGTGAACAAGATGAAGAAAATTACATTCCATAAGCGGAAATTAAACGTTGTCGTTCGAATATGTGCCAGACAACATTTAAAACTAGGAGGGTACGTTGTGCGACGCAATTTATGTAAACGTGAAAAGCTTACCAAAATTTGGAAAAGCTAAAAAAACAGAGAACAAGTAAAAGTTAAAGTTCGAGAGCAACTGAACGACGTGTTGGTACAAGTATTTATTTAATTGATCTCAGGTGATCTTTCAAGCAATGCAAGACTACGTGATGAACGAACTATACGCGAGATCGTTCGAAATAGATCGGATAGGTCCAGAGTACCACCTACCTAGAAATGGAATTCCAAAATCCAGAATTCTTTTCATCCTCTGACAATAGATCCATTCCAATCTTGTCCGGTTTCTTGGATACTTTAACTTTCAACACGTGACTCCTTAACGAACTTATGACGACTTTGACGTCGTTACCCTTTTGTATAACATCTTGGCCACCGACGGTAGTAAAATCATATATTTCCGCCGATCGGCCTTGCCGAAGCCGCAGCAACCATTCTCCTGGATTAGCCTTCAGTTGAAAGTATCCCAAGTTCGCCATGACTATGGTGTCTACCATTAATGGTTGCTTCTCTGTGCCCAGAGTGAATTGCAATCCTCGAGGTGGATTTCCCATCAACGCTTCGAAACAGTGTCCTTCTAGCAATAAATGCTCCAATTCCAGCTCGCTGCAAGAAACAATGATTTACAACAAAGATTAGATCGGAGGATTATAATCGGAATTTTTAATCTCAATATGTATTAGTTACCTATGTACTCCAATCGCGACATTATCCAACTTAATATTATCCAAATCGTAAACGCTTCTGACTACTTCCACCAACCAGTTTTCGGGTGCATGGATGTTCTGCGTCAACAACGAGGAGGTGGGCAATTTCGTGAACTTTGCCATTGCTCCATTGATATGACCATCGGCGGAAAACTGTAAATGTGGCTCGAACACGAACCGATAGAAACTGAAATGATACAGATGCGTTAAGTAAATGGAGAAACAAACAAGAAGAGAGAAAGGAAGATACGTTTACCTTTTCAATGGCATATCGCTGTTCTTGTCTAAACAGTTCAGAAAGACTTTGATGTTGCAGTTAAGAGACTGCTGTAAAGTTTTTAAAATGGGACCCAGCTTTTGAGCACCGCGAGACACAGGATCCACGATGGCGACTAGAGAAAATGCCACTTCATCTGGATTCGCTGCTGGGATCTTTATGGAACTAAATATCGCAACTTATTAAGTTTCGTAATAATTCTTCCGTCACAGAATTGGCTTGATCTAGCCGTAATGGAACTCACCTGTGATCGTCACCGTGAAAGAGTACATCGAATCGACTTCGTGTCTGAGGATGCGACACCAACAATGACGTGATTTTCATAATCATATCATCCGTGACTTTGTTCTTTTCTGTGGAACAGAAAGTACGTACATTATTTTTCGTGAAAGTATGTGTCTGCTAACAACTTCAATTATCATACCATATTCATCGTCTTCGAGCAACTGTTCTTTTATTAACTTTTTAAATAACTTCTCGCCATAGCTACTATGGCTGAATCTTTCCAACAGGGAGAGATCTTCGCTTGTAAATCCCTCGTTATCATCAAACGGTCCAACCAGTCTTCCATTGCATACAATTGCTCGTGCACCCGCTTCCATGTTCAACACAGCTTTAACGTATTGTCGATGTATAGAAAGTTCGTTCACTTGCTTCTTCAATTGTTCTCTCACAGCTTCGTCCTAATTTTCATTCGTCGCGTTCTTTAGTAGTGTGGAAACAATATAGGACAACATTTATTTGCTCCTTCTTACCTCTACTTGAAAATCCCCTTTGGCAATATCGTCTGCAAAGTTTTCCTGAATTACGCGACGAATAAAAGGCTTGGCCTCCTCTACAGGCAAGCTATTCAATGCAGCCAATACAACTTCATTAATATCAGGCTTGGCGTTCTGATAGTTGTCATTTTCGTCAGTTGTAGGGTTAACGATTATGGTGATTCTGATGTGAACATTGGATTCCTGATGAATTACGATGGACAATTGGTTAGGGTTTTTCCTTTACGATTAGATCGTGTATTTGTATGCAAATACATAGCTGTGTGACTTACTAAGTAGTCGAGAGTCTCGCGTAACAATAATCTGCCTGCTGGACTTTTTAAATCTGTTACGACCCAAAAGCTATACAAATGGTGTACGCTTGTGCGACGCGGCATATAAAGATAATGTAGTCTGTTCATCAACCATGTTGAGTAGTCCTCGGGACTCCACTTCGTGTAATTTTCATCGCTGGGTGCTGTTCCGATCAAGTTTAACCATGTATGCTTTTCTGCTTTTAAAATTCGTTCGTTTAAGCTACAAAATAACAAAGAATAAATTATAATTGAATACTACGAATGATAGACGAAAAAAAGTACGTACCGTGGCATAACGTTCGGTTGATTCATAATGTAATCAACGACATCGTCTCTTTCGGTCAATTCGCCCCGATACACTGCTTTCTGTAGCGCCGGGGTTTGCGACATGATAGTAGAGAGAACAGCTTCTTTGAACGAGTCGGCATTCAATTGGTCCGAGGACAATGGTACGCCGTTAATTAAAGCTTGCGGAAATTTTTTGAAACCAGATCGTTTTACGAAATCGCTGGCTAAATGACGTCCAACGTCGTACTCGGATTCCTCGCCGAGAATATAGTTGATATTGGCAGACACATCTTGTGCTTTTATAGCTTTCTTTACGCTGTCCAGGGTTGCTCCCTTTGGCCCAATATGATTTCCCAACTAAAACGAAACGCTATACCATAGTATCCAATTGTAACAAAACGGATAATTGAAGTTCAAAGGAAACTCTTACGTCTATCAAAAATTGTAGAGCCTGTATCGAACCTATAACCTCGGCAAAGTAATGATACGCACTGTTCACTGCAACACTAGGATCTGTTAATCCGATTGCCGAAGTATCAGAATTCGTTACAAATACAAAGCCCACTCGTAATGGGGTGGCATGCAAAAGTAAAGACTCTGCGAGAGATACCAGGGGGGTGGATTCCGCGCTTAATGGATCGATTATTAGAACCTGTGGAAAGATTGTATGAAATTCTCTGGAATCTAACACATTATTTTTGTTCACGAGTTTACAAACCAAATTGTACAAGTTTCTTCGAATATTCCGTAGCATTCCCGGAAAAGTTGGCCTCAGTAATTCTGTTAACCATGCCGGCCATCTTGCATATGTTGAATCCTGTTCGATATCATTTACCCAAATTATAGCCGAATCTCTTATATCCATTGCAAATTCTTGCTTATCCATATTTGTAGACAAATCTAATGACAGTAATTTGCTCATCTTCGTATTGCTGAATCCTACCAATGAAATTACATAGTAAATTTAGGTATTATAAACTGCCGCAACACGTCGAATCCCAAGGGAGAATCCGTCATACCAATTTTACGAAGGGATTCCATTACTCTGAGCTCGCTCCTCAGCGATTCCAGAAGACTGAGCACATCTACGGCGTCCAAATCAAAGAACAATCCATTCACAAAGAGCGCAGTATCGGTGGGTTGAATGTTCAAATTTAAAGAAAAAATTGCTTGATTCAGTTTCATTTCCTTTTTCATTTCGTTGTTTACTTTCGTCCTGATTAAAGACTTCGCCTATTAACAGAAAAGGACCAAAAATCAGTGTTCACCGGGTCAAAGGGAATAAAATCTCGGTTATCAAGTTTGTAGAGATATATTTACTTGCATGGGAAAGTTTTGCGAAATATCAGTCAAAACGTTAATAGCCTCGCTCATCGGAGAGTTCATTATCCTTTCAGCTGCCTGGTGACTTAGCTCTTGAAATTGCCAGACTTTTAAAGCACCAATTTCATGACTAGTTTCCAGTAAATGAGTTTGCAATTTATCTAACTCTGCTTGCTTATCAGGATACAAATTCCTACAAAGGTTAGAGCAATGAGATAAGTTTCAATAATCATCATTATAATTTACAAAAAATATAAACTAAATACATATCCACCTTACTTTAAAGTTATAAAGTTGATTCCATCTACTTCTTCCGTACCATCGTCAGACGTTTCAGAATCTTTGCCAGCATTATCTTTAATATCCGAATCATCCGTGGCTTTATATTCTGTAGACTTCATTTGCAATTCCACGCCATATCCTGATAAACGTACATTCTTATCTACTCTATCCTACAAAAATCGTTCAAAAAGAAAACGTCTAAATGATAGAAATTTATTAAAACAATTACGATGATCTAGGGGTAATACCTTTAAATAATGCCTCAAAATGTAATTGAACCCTTTGGTTTCTGCAAGGTGTTTCAACTTTTCATGAAAGGTTGCAAAATTTGGAGTTCCAACTTGTCCGTACAATATAATAACTTTTTCAGGCTGTTGAGATGCACGATAGCTATGATCTACACTGTAAGTATCAGGATTCAACCATGTCTCCTGTAAAACACATCCAAACTTTACATCTTGAATGAATACAATTCATGCTATTTATTTATTACCTGGTTAACTAGTTCTTCCAATTCTTCTATTGAACATGTGAATCTTCCGCCGATGTCCACTACATTGTAACAGTCAAACTTGGAAATATTCTTATTTTGAGCCATTTGTGTAAACATTTCCACTCGTGCAGAATAAATACGCAAAGATAGTCCTAATTTAAGTAAAGCTACCTCTGACAGTGATAAAAACTCTTCGGCAAATGCAATAATAGCATTATAATTATCTCTCTCTGTAGCTGCAATGAAAAATTAAAAATCATAACGTTATAAAGAATAATTGCAACATACAATAGGTCAGAATTACCATTTCTAAAATCATTGTCAGCAAAAGTGTCTATAAATTTCCAAAAATAATTTGGACTTTCATCATGTAGATACTCGGCTGCTTCAAGTATCAAAGGTGTTTCTCTCCATTTTGCATCGATTAAAGTGGTCACATATTTATTGACTTTTTTATCTGCTTTGAGATGTGTTGTACATAAAAGTAGCAGACAAAATATTATATTTGACCACATCTGTAAACAACATTAAGTATTGTTAATAATAATACCATGTCAGGAAGAAAAGAAAAGAGAGGCAACATTCAACTGACACAATTATAATTATTGATAACAACTTTATGTAAAGGTATCATAACTCTCTAAGAATTTAACTTAACAGATTTTTCAACGATGCGGAAAATTACCGATAAATTAGTTGTGTATTGGTTACGCGTCCAACCGAGTAAGCAACACGTTAAACACGTCTATAGTAAATATCAATTTATGTTAGGATTAATATCTTTTTTTTTCGAAATTCAAGCGTTAGAAAAATGACAAATCTGATCGAATTTCTCATTATAATAATAAATGCAACCGACTCAAATTTACAATCGATGGAAATCAATAGAAGTAATACATACTAATGTTGCACAGCTCTAAACACTAATACTAATGTTATACGTAAAAACGAATACCATAATAGACTTTACATACCTTTAGAATTGCAATAAAAATTATATTAACGAAAAAGAATCAAATAACATTGATAGCCAATCCATGCATTGCACGTGCCGGTAAATACCACACTGGTGGAAGAACTCGACGAGTTTACACGCAAATGTACACGTATTTAAACACATATGTACACAAGATTACCATACGTGTGGCTTGGCTCACATTTACGAAATTTATATCGGTAACTTGCCGTAAGTGGAGCTAATTCATCAAAGAATCTGATCGCTGTACATAAATATTAATTAATGATTAACTCTATAAACATTTACGAATCGGTATACGTATAATTCGAACGATAAGATCCATTTAAAACAATGAATGTACATGTGCATACATACGGACATATGTATGTATGCATCGTTCATGAATTTTAATCTAGGCTTACCAACACGTTTCTGATAAAAGACCGTAAAATTTCCTAGATCTTTTTACCAAGAGAAATATCGTGTATAAATTGCAATCACTGGTATGCACAACATTGCAAGCCGCAAACTCGACTGAATTCCTCCCCGCTTCTGATTGGTTGAGACGTTGCACCGATGGTATCCCTGTGCCCTGTGCATGTGTACTTCCGTAGCACTTTCCACATTTGTGTGCACTTGTTTTAATTAAAATATGAAAATGTACCCTTTCTCTTCCATATAAGAGACTTTCAACATTACGCTCACCTTACGACGATTATTTAACAGTTTTTTTAAACTGAGTGATTAACAAGTAATTTTCTAAATTCCTAATCAATTCTTCAACCGCAATAAATATAGTTTCAATCATTAACAAAAAAGTATGTACCCCAGCGATACAATCTATGCAATACATATATAGTATGTATATGCATATTATATAGTACCTTCCTTCAGCATTATTATATAAAAACAAATGGTTAACAGTCTTAATATCGATGAGTAATTAAACACTTCCAAGTTGATTGTAAATTGAGTATAATTTAAAAACAATTAAAAGAAGTATTCGTATGAATGATTCGCTGTACGAGCAGTACAAAATTATCGAATATTTATTAAGACAAATTATTTTATTTTCTAGAAGAATATACAACGTAGAATTGCGTTGTTTTTTTTAGAAACTCGTATAGATGTGTACCACGTCGAATATCGTTGTATAAATGTCAATACGAAGCATGGTTTTATTAACTTTCTAAATATACGTACCGGATTCTTCGATCGGTCGTTAATAGATATTGTCATTTCGAGGGTTACCATGAATCTTTTCACAATATTAAAGTATTTAACTCTTAAGGCGTTCATGATGGACAATCATGCAGGTTTGTGAAACAATTTGATTTTGATTTGAAAGTGTATGTACATATGTACATATAATCATAATCTTGCGAAGCATGCGCAAGACTTCCGTCTATACCGCATTTGATCGCTTTGGGGAATTTTAAGCGGTAGCAAAGAGAATCTTCCGCCATTCTATATTCTGAATTTTTGTGAAAGCGAGGTACATACATTCTGTTTTTGCACAGTCCGTCCAAAAACACAAGAAACAATGACGTCGATGACTCCTGTCGTAATAGCGGCTACGGCCAGGCACACGGCCACGGTAAGGACAAAAATACTATCATTTTTGGTTATATCTAGTGCAAAATAGTGCTCGATTAATTTTAATTTCATTATTTTTCACATATTATTGTTCTTGAAGAGTCAAGCGTAATTTCATTATATAATAGTTATACTCATCATCCGACGTTCTTATCGTTATAGGAAGTTGAAACATTTCTAATCAGTGGATGATTTGTTGAGTAATGTTTGTTAAAAGTCTAAAGTTTAAACCATCGATTAGTAGCATATGTAAAAAGATTTAAGCTTCTAAAACGTTGTCAGATACAGTTTCATTCATTAATACACTTTTGTTTGCATTATTGTTACAGCTGATATTTTTCCATGGATTGGGTGATACAGGGTAAGTTAATGAATTATGTAATACTGTGAAGACAATGTAGCTTTGTCTAACATGTTAATTTAATTTCCATTTGTACTTTCAGGCATGGCTGGGCCAGCTCAATGAGCGCGGTACGATTACCTCATATGAAAGTTATTTGTCCTACTGCGTATGTATAGCTTCATTTAAAAGTACTTACATATATTTATTTTGTAAATACATAATTTAGTTCTATTGTGTTAGGCCTACAATGCCTGTGTCATTAAATGCAGGATTTATAATGCCATCCTGGTAAGTATTCAAATTTATTCTATAAGATAAGCTATGACATACAGGGTGTCTCAACTAAATGATGCTCATAGTTATTTGTTTATTAGATTTCAAGATTACCAATATTCTTTAAATGAAGCCTTATATTCTTTTTAATGCATGTATAGAACTTCTGTCAGTATATGTGCCCTTTGGGACACTCTGTATATTGTTCAGTTGAAAAATTATGAAAAAATAAGGATATGTATAGCAGTATTAAAAGAAAAATTTATGCATTGACAAATTTAGGTTTGATTTGCGAACACTGGATCCTAGTGGAGCTGAAGATGAAGAAGGTATAAAGAAAGCTGCAGACATGGTACACTCTTTAATTGCACAAGAAGTTGCAGCAGGGATTCCTACAAAGCGCATTGCAATTGGTGGTTTTAGTCAAGGTGGTGCTCTAGCTATATATAGTGCTCTTACATTTCCAGAACCCTTAGCTGGTATTGTAGCTTTATCATGTTGGCTTCCTTTACATCAGAAGTTCCCTGCTGTATGTATATAATGGATATATAATAGAGTTAGAATATTTCCTTGCACCTATATATATATTTTCTACATTTTAGGAAGCAATAGGAAATACAAATACTCCATTGCTACAGTGTCATGGCGATTGCGATCCAATAGTACCATATAGATGGGGACAAATGACTGCATCTTATCTCAAACAATTTATGACACAAACAGAATTTAAAACGTACAGGGGAATGATGCACACATTCTACGAAGAGGTGGGCAGATTTATATACAGTCTATTGATACACTATAAATCTACTATTGAAAAGTATTGAAAAGTTTAAAAAAAATCAGTAATGACTGATAACGACTATTACTTTTGCAGGAAATGAGCGACATGAAGAAATTCATTGAAAAAGTATTGCCATAATAGTTCTGTAAAACACATCAATGTTTTCAGTGTTTACCCTTATCTTATTGTTCTTTATTAAATTAATTACTTCCAACATTACTGCTACTTAAATCTAGAGCTTGGTGACAGAATAAATGAAACGCAGTAGTAGGTAAAAATATTTAAAATATTAAGAAACAGAAATCAATACTAATAAAAAGTTTGATTCCATTGTGGCATNGTGGCATTTGCTAATTCAGTTTATTATTTGCTTCCTTCGTATGCCGAAGTTTTTAGCGTGACACTGTCTGTCTTTAATTTAATAGTGAATAGTTATAATTATTGGCATTTCTAAGCCCAACTATTTTATTACATATAACAGATAC